ATTTGACCAGGAGTGTGTGAACTTTTTATGTCCACTTCATACAGAGAAATAAGGATAATTCAACTCACCCCTCCAAACCACTGAAACAAAGTTTCAACCCATATTTTGTCATGCAAGCATGCAAATTAATCTCAAGATCCTATTTAAATGAGGCCATTTTACTCAAACGTTTTGCACAAGTTGTCATTGATTTTCCATGGCCAAAGACGGCTGGTTATTTTATGACAAACACAAATACATTCTACTCCTTTCAATCATTGTTTCTCTTAAAATTCTCTCTTCAGTGACTTGAGCTGTCGCTTCTCCTCTCTCTGCGCCGTGCCGTGATTTACATCACCTTGAGGGATTTGAGCTTTCATTCCTTTGAACACAGTGCTATATTTTGCGAACACAACTGCAAACCGGATGCTTCTCACAAGTGTTACCCGGTCGTAAGTGGGGGCAAGGATAAGGAGAAGCAGCCGAGTGTGATGAAGAGATCAGGTGAAATTGGCCTCGGCGGACATGAATTACAAGCTTGGGAGACGTTCATGTCAGTTCAGTTCTGTAAGCGTACGTTTGAGGGAGCAAGGCAAAAAAAAAAAAAAAAAAAATGGCTCTGAGCTACAGTGACTCTTTTTTTTCACATGTTCCTTATTTAAGGCCGAATTGACACTGCACGTGCTGGAACTGGGTCACTTGTTAATATAAGAACCCCAAACCGCAAGGCTATTTTAGCCAAGAGGCTCAAAAGTGAAATCGGGGAAAAAAAAGGCATGAAAAGAAAGTCGGTTGAGCACTGAGGCAACTGGTGAGCAGACACAAAAGCAAGACGAGTTAGTTTAGAAATGTCACACTTGACTAGAATGTGAAGAAAATAATGAAGAAAACAAAATCATAAAACAAGTTCCCGGGAAGTGATCCTGACAGTTGCCCCGCGATAATACAGAATCATCGTCCGTAAAGTGCTTTTTAAGATCAATAAATTCTTCATTGACCTCAATTTCAAACCACAATTTTTTTTTTTTTTGTGCGGAAGCAAAATTGGATTTAATCACAAACATAAATACAAGGCCATTAATTTGACAATTTGCCAAAATTTATCACCGTCTAGCTGGCATGAATGATAAAAACAACTCTTAACTTATTTTTATCGCGATCCTCCTCGTCCAACAAAAAAAAATGTTTGTGTCCTCTGATATGACCTCTATCTCCTGTCCAGTTTCTAGAGCTGCATATGAAGGTGAGCATAACTTCTTGGCCAAAGGCAGACATCTATGCGCGTCTTCTAACAGGTCAGAAAGACAGACTTTGACGAGGTCGAGCCATGAGCGACTCGGCCAGTTGGGCCGTTTTGGCAGTCGGGGCGGGGAGGGGACTGATGATCCCTTTGGCGACGGTTAAGGGCTGGCTCAGCGCGCAAATCATACACTCATTCGAGCTTCCGGCGAGAATCATGCGTCAAAATGCTACCTGCGATCTGCTTTATGTGGGGAAGCCCGCAAGAATGCGGCCCGGCGCAAAATTCGGGTGAGTCGGTAAAATGATTTTCAAAGACTGACTTGCTTTTTTTGTCCATTGGGTTGAACAAAATCTGGCTCTGTAGTTGACGATTGTGTATTTCGCCCGTTATTTCTCTTTCGCACCTGAGGAATTTCGTTCGCATGAATGTTAAGTAATGACTTGCACCATTCTGTCCAAATGGTTTTTTTTTAAGGCCTGTGTTTTTCAACCAATGACAGAAAACAACTAAATCTCCTTTTTATTTGACCGAGTCATATCTTTTAAACTATTCGCTTGGTTGTTTGCTCTGCCTTATATAAAGATTGATTTAAGGATAGAAAAATAATTTCTCTTGTTCAGCGTCCTTCAATTCTGCCCCATGACAGAGTTCGCCTTCCTCCTCCGTTTATCCAGTCGAGTCATTTTCTCGCGCACAGCTGCATACATAAGGGCTTCATGTATCCAGCGATTCCCAACCGGTGTGCCTGGGGCCACACGAGCGTGCAGTGAGAGCTCTAACACTGTGCTGTGGAAAATTATCAAATTTTAACTCATTGGTGAGAAAATGATTTATTCATAACAAATAATGTATCTTTGTCCATCTATCTATGCCAGCAACTTATAGTGACAGAAAGAACAAATAAACAATCTTTTATTAGATGGCAAAAAGTATGAAATTGACAAGAGGTTTGTGACCATTTTTTTTTTCTGGTGCGCCATTCAATTTTTTCGAACTTAAAAAAAAATGTGTCGGGCTCAATCAAGGTTGGGAACCACTGTGCTCGATCATCGGCAGCTTTGTTTTACGCATGTTGAAAGAAGCCGGTCTTTTGAGGAGGCACGGGTGGCAGGCAGGGAACCAGTGTTGCATCTTGGCGAAAGTAACGTAAACCATCAAGGTCGAGGATTTGTTGACGGACAGAAAGGCAAACCTATCGGCGTTTGATTTTCGCTTTGATCTTGTCAACGCCACGACCTCCGCCACCTGCAGTCAGTCTCGTTTTGCCGGTGGATGAATACTCAGGTTCAGCGCGTTGTAGAAACAATTGGGGTGCTAGCTTTTGTGGCCCACTGAGTCCAATGTGATCACAGAATGATCTCTAACCCCTCCCAGTCCCCACCCGAGATCCAAGTCTTGTGTTTAGGGCAAGTGTGCCGATGCAGGTTTGGTCCAGTCCGGTTTGTGGCGGGTTTGCGGTGGGTTTAGGGGCGCCGCGGTTTGACAGGTTCAGTCAGGCGGATGCGGAGTGTGTTGTTGTAGCGGCGGCGACGGTCAAAGGCTTGTACAAGCAAGTCTCCGCGCTGCTGGCTGGGAGACCAGCCAGCTCCGCTCTCCCAGAACGAACAGCAGGCAGGACCTTTTTTTGTTGCTTTGGATTTGGCCGTTCCTTTCGGCCAGATCGTCCCATGGACATCTAATCTGAATTTCAACGCAATTACAGCAACACAGGTCACTTCACTTCTGTGAATGGCTTTGCCAATCATGAAAGTCTTGAGCGTTTCCCGGATCCTGGATCATTTGCATCATCAGAAAACACATTCGGATTTTTGGGATATGGTGTAAAAGTTAATAAGAAATGGTGCAAGCCTGGCAGGTGTATGCTGACTCGCATTTAACCCTTTCAGGGGACAGCGGTGACAAGAGTGGACAGCTCTTTTAAATGTTGTTTTTTTTTTTTTTTTCTCTGATATTAATGAATCTTAATGTCACGGTTGTGCATCAAACCACTGCAATGGACCCTTATGTGTGTTGCCATTCGCTGGCATTATTTTCTTTTCACGCCTAAAATAAAAATGAGAAAAAAAATCCTGATGTAGGCTGTCATTATTTGTGCATGAAAGGGTTAATATAAATTTGAATGTGTTTGGTTGGTTGTCAACACAGCCACATCCCAGTTAGAAGCGGACGTGCACACTTGTGCAACCACATCTTCGTGGCTGTTTATTTATGATGATTTATTTTTTTTCCGTCCACCCTCATTGCACAATGTTGCAGGTTTTAGGTCACAATAAAGTTGGATTCAATTCAAACAAAAGCCCTTTTTCACCAAGTCTAAAGTCACATTTTTTTGGGACTTTGAACTTGTTTATATCTAAGTCACCAGTCCCTCTAGAGCAGTAGTGTCAAACTCATTTTTATCACAGGCCTTATTTTAGTTACCGTTTCCCTTGGAGGGCCGTTATGACTGAAACCATATCAAGAAGTCAAGAAAGACGATTTATTCAACTATTGTTTAAGTTACTGTCATGAGGGATTTGGGAACAAGAAAATGCTGACAGTATTGCTCTTATTTATTACAAATGAGAATTAGAAATTTTGTTAGAGATTTTAGCAAGAAAGTTAACATCTTTGATTTGCTTTTGCGGGCCACATCAAATGATCTGGCAGGCCAGATCTGGCCCCCGGGCCTTGAGTTTGACACTTGTGCTCTAGAGGCTGTTGATGGCATCTCAAAAGTGAGTGTAACTAAAAAGCTGAGCGCACCGTGCTTTTTTTTCCATATGTGGTTTGATGAGTCTTGCGTGGATTCTTCTCTAGTGTTTATTCCCCCGTGAATTTGTACATTGGACTTTGGAGCCGATCTAAACAGATGTATCTCAACTCTAATCCCGTGCCGCAGGCATTCACCGTGGAGCCACCGTGCACGTGTGCAGCAGGATAATTGGCCCGCTCTCTCAGACGTGCGACGGATACGACCGCCACATGCGCAATTCCAGCGCGACTTTATAATGCCGGCTACGTATTTGTATGTTGTCGACACGCGTTCGCAAACGCATCGAGACGATTTGCATATTAACGATATGCGAAACAGGAGCTCGAGCTGAACGCGCCGCTTTTACAGTTTCCATTGACGCTTTGAGTGAGGTGTGCCTTTGATTCCAACCGCTCTCTTATGTAAGCAACGGAGGTAACCAAAAATATTACACACGGCTCTCATTACGATGCAGCGCAGTTACTCACTGCTGCAAATTTCAAATCATATGTGGTCCCTCGCGTGCATAACATCTCAGTAAGCAGACACACACTTTGCTGGCTGCATTTCACTTAGCAATGCAACATGGACTGACATCATTTACTGCCTCGTTGCATTTAACATCCGCTTTCTCTCTCTCTCTCTCTCTTTCTCTCCCAGCAACTTCTTTCAACCAATTTGGACTCGACTCTCGGCATGAAGCATTTGTGTCACAGTGATTGAATTATGTGTGAGGGACTCCATTTGAAGTGATGTGGGCTATTTCCAGTGTGCTTGTTTCTAAATCATGTTTGGAGGGGTCTGTGTGTCCCTTGAGTAAACTGCGTGTCGCCAAATTGCTTGTCTCGCAAGGCAACTTGCATTTTTATGTACACAATGCTTAAAGTATTAAACGCTGTTCAGTCCCATTGACCATTGTGTAAGCATTTCCCAAAAGCCATTTTCAGGTGAACTCCATATTGTTGTTTTTTTTTTTTTTTTTTTTTTGCTTTGTTTTTTTGGACCCCCTACATTAACCTTACTGTTCTGTTTTTGTGTCCGCAGGCACAGAAATCATGGATCGAGAGAGCGTTCAGCAAGAGAGAATGTGTTCATATCATTGTGAGCGCCAAAGACCCCCATAGGTATGCAACACACCAAAATTCAATTGCTCGTCCTGCAACGCTCTTTTTCCTTATGTGGGGACATATCTCATGTCACAAAAAGTGGTGAAAGTAGTTGTTGCGTGCATAGGCGTCATGACATGGTGATTGCGGGAATCATTTTGCTACACGACAAAAATGTAAATCGAATAAAAGTTATTTATGTTTTTACCATTGGAGCACAAAGGAGAAACTCCAACCCTAATTTGAATTAGGAGGCCTCCATCTCCCTCAAGATGATTTTCAGTGATGGGTGTTGTACTCCTTTCTACTCCTCTCTCTCTCTCTCCCTCGCACACACACACACACAGAGACACACAAGCACACACACACTCCTGCACACCGGTGCAGGCGGTGTGAAACGGTAATGATGATGAAAACCGAAGTTGGGGAAAGCTTTCCAAGCCGCGTTGCCCGCAGTTGTTGTTTTACACGCTTGCTTCGAGCAAATTGTCCCAAAGCAAAGAAACATATCTGTCACCTGCGTGCTTGCGAGCCTGTGTTTATGAGTTCACGCAAATCCTCTGCGACTGGCAGACGCATCCTTTTGCGTCATTGCACAACGGAGAAGTAGCGGCCCCGTAAGCACATTCTTCCTACGAAAAGGCAAAACGGCATTCAAATTGAGCAACAAAGACAGGGGCCGGCTCACAGAGGCCACTTGTAACGGCTTTACGCATGCTCTTATTTCCGTACGTGCTCTGCCTCAACATTCATCCGCAACTGAAACGAAGGCTGCGATGCGCTTCCATGCGTCAAGCGACTACATCCACAAGCCACGCACATTTCCTTCATGCACCATGAACAGCTGCGCTGCTTCCAAGGCCTCACCAGTTGGCCCCCTTCTTCCCACCTCACCGGGGAAGCAGTCGTACCCAAGATAAGACGGATGGTGTTCACACGCTGTCCAAGGAGAAGTCAAATGGCGTTAGCGGGCCACTGCACAAACAATGTAGCCACGTGAGCCGCGGGTGAACACCAACAAGTTCCCGAAGGCATCGAGGCGCTCCAGCAAAGTGCGAAGGCATCGCTGTTATCTGGAGAAGCCGAGTCGTCAGATGAATGACCTTCGGTGTAAAGAGAGAGGTGATCGCTCAGACCGGAAGGATAGACGGGGAGCTCAACGCTGCCCCGTTATCGTCACCGACCAACAAGCATGAGGAGTGCACTGATAAGGCGTGCAAATCTCTTTTGGCTCTCACCGGCCCAAAACTCTGGACGAACCAGTGAACTCAGTCGCGGCCCCCTCAATTTCCCGATCCGGCGGCGGTGTCCTGCATTTTGTGGGGAGGGGGCGGGGGGTAGCAACTTGTAAACCAAGTTGTACCTCGACGTTCTGAAACTGGCCTTCCTGATTGCTGAATGATGACATTTCAGTATTTTAGGTTTTAAGTACTGGCAAAAATTCATTTTGACAGTCCCTGTCTGCCCTCACATTGGAACATGAGAATGGTTTGAAAGATTCCACCAAGTGGCCCGGTTCATTTCTGCGCTGCAATTTAGACCACGTTTGTGCTTGTGTTGCAGAGGGCCCAGGTGGTGTAGAGACGGATGATTCAGCTGTGTACAAATTGGAAATACGGGGTGGCCCCAAAGTCACTACGCGCGTCCTTTTCCTTGCTTCCATTTCATTTCACTGATCTTTCCGACCGATGTGAGGCCCATTAACATCTGGCAGCATAGGCTTTGTAGTTTTTGTCAGCATTTTTTTGTACACCAAAGGGAATGCCCTTTGGTGTAAAAAAAAATACAAAAAACAAAAGGAAATTCAAAATGTAAAAATGTACTATGAAAAAACAACTAGTCAGTGACTGTCAACTGTTTGGGTGAGACACAAAATTTGGCTGAAAAATGATGCAAGGTCAAGATGGATACCTCTCTGTTTTGTGGAGCCAAGCGTCTGGTCACATCAGCAGCCTCCGTCAAATTTTCGGAACTTCAAAAGGACAGCCAGGACCTGGTCTGAGGACGCGACGAACAATAAGAGACGGACGTTTCTTGCCGGAATTTGTAAAAGTGCTGCAGGTTCATGAGTAGAACGTCTGACAATGAAGCGCGGTCTAACAGAACTAATTATTGTAATTATTCAAATAGCCGCTTTGAATATGGATAAGATGGAGAAAGGTTACCGTTGCAATTGTTTCTGCTTCTGGATCGGCTAAATTATTCCCCGCGTCCAATTCGTCAACATTTTTCATTTTCACAACAACCCTAATAAGTGACGCAAGTGTGCTGCGACTCAATTTCGTGCGTTGCTCTCATGTTGCCGAACTGGTTGTTTTTTCGCGATTACTCTCGTTACAACAGCTGTCACCGCTCCGACGAGAGAGCCGAAAAAGCAAGATTTTAATTCCTCTCCTACCAGGCTTGATGCCAAGCGGCAAGCTACAGTATGTTACACTTTGTTCGGATGAAGGATTATCATCGAATGACGCGGCGGCAATTTCCCTCGAGATCACATCATTTCTTTCAAGTAGAAAACAAACACTTGTTTTGCAGGAGGCAAAGGAAAAGCAATGAAGACGGAAATATGAAGTGTCAACAGAATCAGATTCCAAGCCACTTTCTCTTCCTTCCTCCCGCGGGACTGGAGAACAAATATGAAAGCAACATCCAAATCAGGACGGCCCCCTTGTAACTTTCATTTTCATTTACAATGGCTCTTGTCGATGGACAAGAGGAACAGACAGAGTTCAAAGCAAAGAGAAAGCGCTGATAAAGGAGTGCGACGGTCCAGCAGAACCCGAAAAGTCCTTGTGGACGACCCTGTGAGAAGAGACAATTCTGTTGATAGACCGTCACTTCAGTTTTTACAACCGCACATGCTATATCATCTCCATTTGTCCTTCGCAGACATCCAACTGCACTTTGAAACCGTAATTCATGCCTTCGTCACATCCCGTCTAGTTTACTGTTCTGCATTTTACTTTGGAGTCAGCCAATCCTCCATTAAGCGTCTCCAGTTGGTCCAGAATGCTGCTGCTCGCCTCTTGACTGATACTCGTCACATAACTCTCATAACTCCTACTCTGGCATCCCTTTACTGACTTCCTCTACATTTTAGAGTTCTTTTTAAGAACCTGTTATTAGTTTTCAAATCTTTAAATGGCCTCGTCCCACCTTACCTCTTTAACCTCCACCTTTACGCAACTGCCCGGTGCCTCGGGCCTGTGGGCCAGACACTATTAGGAGGTACCGAGAACTAGTCCCTTCTCTGCCCATCTTTAAAACTCCTCTTAAACCTCGTTTTTATTCTTTGCCTTTTGACTCAACATGACACTTGATTTGTGTGCTTTCTACTGTCTTCATTATTCATTTATTGTTTGTTGTATGAATTATTTTTTGCTCCACGTACGGCACTTTGCATACAGCGGCGGTTGTTTTAAAGTGCTCAATGAATGCAGTTGAGTTGAGTTTTGCCAAATAAATCCCGTTGCCTCCATCCAATCTGGTGAAAAAGAGCGCCGTGTTGTCATCTCATGTAGGTGCTGCTGCGGTCGCCTCATAGGACAGCACGTGGGGCTTCCCCCCGGCATTTCATCCAGTCACAATGACAAGGCGGAACGAGCGGCCAAGAACGACAGTCCGTCTGAGAAGTGGTCCATCAGCAAACACACTCAGCTCAGCCCCACGGATGCCTTCGGCACCATCGAGTTCCAGGGAGGAGGACATTCCAACAAAGCCATGGTGAACACACCGCACACCTGCAAGATACGCTCCATCAGCCGCTCGCCAGCCTTTTTGAAAGTCAGAGCTGTGCATCTCGGGTACTGATTACTGCAAAAGGCGACCAGTTTGATGCGCGCTTCTGAAATTTGCTAAAATTACCTTTCATTATGATATTATGATGTAAATAATGAATGGTATTAATTTATGTGAGGACACTAATGGTGTTCATAATTTCTGACAGTGATGAGGAAAAACATAAATATCATTCACAACAATTCATTTATCTTCTATCTAAATTAGACCGTAGGAGAAGCTCCCCACGAAAAAAAAAAAAAAAAACAACAACACACATTTCATATTTTGGATCACCTTTCATCATCAGAATAATTCAAGACTGGATCATCAATTAAGTAATTTGAAGATAATTACAAGTGCAACGAGTTTGTTTCGAATGACTTTTGCATCGGATTCTCACAGTCACCGTCAGTGGTAATTGTAGCCTCCATGCAGTTCACGTCGATGATTTACAGGTGAATTGGAGCTAATTTATTGGCAGGGTTGAATTATTCATGCCACGCATATGCTCGCTCGCTTGTCTGAGGATGAATTAGATAGATAAACAGATGTTTTTCATAATTCCGCTCCATGTGGCCTCCAATTTGAGCAAAAATCTGTCTCAGAACTTTGGAGCATAAAAAACATGCAACACCAGCCCCCGAGGCGGGTGTCCGTATATCAGCACGATCACTGACACGCGTCCGTCTGTCTATCAGTACGTGCGAGTGTCTTATGACACCAAGCCGGACCTGCTGCTGCATCTGATGACCAAGGAGTGGCAGCTGGAGCTACCCAAACTTCTCATCTCGGTCCACGGGGGGCTGCAGAACTTTGAATTGCAACCAAAACTCAAGCAGGTCTTTGGCAAAGGGCTCATCAAGGCTGCCATGACGACCGGAGCCTGGATCTTCACCGGAGGCGTCAATACAGGTGAACCACAACCCCATGTTGTCTTGTTTCAAAAGTCAGCCGCGCCAAATACAATGAATTATTGATTGTGAACAGGGGAGATGTGATTTGATTGTCAGTAGTGTAACTCTGTGTTGTTTTCCTTGTCGGCCCCGCCTTCACATGTAAACAAAAGGGGTCATTCGCCATGTGGGTGATGCACTGAAAGACCATGCCTCCAAGTCCAGGGGAAAGATCTGCACCATTGGTATTGCGCCCTGGGGCATCGTGGAAAATCAGGAGGATCTCGTTGGCAAAGACGTAAGTGGTGAAGCTGCAATTGGAGTTCTCATAGACTGTCGTTCCTCGACAAAGACACTGGGTGGGTTTTCTCTGGGTACTCCGGCTTCCTCCCACATTCAAAAAACATGCATGGCAGGTTAATGGAACACTCTAAATTGTCCCTAGGTGTGATTGTGAACGTGGATGGTTGTTGGTCCATGTGTGGCTAGTGATTGGTTGGCAACCTGTTCAGGGTGTCCCCTGCCTACTTCCCAAAGACAGCCGGGATGGGCTCCAGCACGACACTCGTGAGGATAAGCGGATTAGAAAATGGATGGATGTATGGATGGGTGGATACAATAAAGTGTAATTGCACATCCACTCCAGTAGGTGGCAGTGGCGCTCAGATTGTCAGAGTGTGCGCAGGCAGTCCGAATAATGTTAATAAAGTTATTCAGCAGATTTATATTTCATTTTGTTTTCTTTCATGTTAATAAGGATCAGACACTCACCACTATTTTGTTTCACTTTTCACATGGATGCTTTGCGCAGGTGGTACGTCCGTACCAGACCATGTCCAACCCGATGAGCAAGCTGACGGTTCTCAACAGTCTCCACTCACACTTCATCCTGGCTGACAACGGCACCACGGGGAAGTACGGCGCCGAGGTCAAACTACGGCGACAGTTGGAGAAACACATCTCCCTACAGAAGATCAACACACGTGAGTGTGCATGATTGACCCACTTTGCCTGAGTCATTGGCACAGTCATTGGACTCTTTCATCCCACCACCGTGCACCAATTGGGTTTGCACTCTATTGTCCTACTGCAGCTCGACGAATCAGGAGCCGATTTACGTTACACACTCACAGGATATTTTTAGCAAACTCCACGAGCCTTTTGCAATGTTCCCTTCCTTCAGGAAAGGTTTATTTTTTTTTTCTTCAGAGCTTCCTGACAGCTTAGTCGAACCCTTTCCTTAAGTGAACCCGCTTGATATTCTACATTTTCTTGTTTCTGGTACATCAAAATATTTACCAATATTAGAGACATATGGTGATTTTTCTCACTGGTATGAACAAAATGTTGGCTTGGGTTGTCTGTGAGTAATTTAGTAAAACATGTCGAGCCTGCTAGGAGACAACAGTGCGTTCCACACTGGAGTCAAAAGCTGCTGTTTTTTTAATTCTAGCATTAGAGAAGCTGGTTAGTGAGCCCCTCAATGTCTGAATTCCCACCACATCCATTTTTAGAACTAACTTCAAAGAATATCATTGTAGACCTCCACTTGGAAATATAAAACAGATGTCAAGCTTGAGACGAACACGTCGAGAATAACTTGGAGCACTGTGACGCAACTTTGCCAATTTGTTGGCTTTGTGTGTTTGTGTGCGTGACTGACAAACGACTCAAAGCATTTTAAAGCAAAAACTTGTGAGCAAAGATGTGTTGCCGCTGCAACAAACTGACATTTATTGCCTTGCTCAGATTAATTTAGCCATGCTAACATACCAGCGCTGTGGATGATTTCACACTATCCTTAAAGGTCAGTTCTATCAAGGTTTTTTTTTTTTTTTTCCAGAGTACAAGGCAGCTGTCAGCGAGGTGATTAACAAGCGATAAGATCCCCCACCGCTTTTAGTCATCCAGTTTAGCATGTTTGCTACTAGCTTATCTCATACTCAGAAAAGGGCAGCGATAGCCTATTTGTATTTTGTGCGTGTACTCTATGTACATTCTTAACGTGTAATTGCGCGGTCTTCATTTGCTAGTGAGCCCCTGTCACCTTGCATTTATCACTTTTCAATGTCCATTTAATGTCTTGGCTGCAACCCAAATGGATTATCACAAACACAAAATGCATTTCTGGCATTTTTCGCTCACGCTCTCTCACACTCTCTCAACCACCGCCGCCCGTTCCATCTTCCAATAGATTTCTCAACAGCCTCTCAGCGTATTGTTTAGAATGTGACACAGACCTGAATCGGGGGGAGCGGTGTGTGGAGCCATGATTTATTTGCCGCTCCCTCCTTTTGTTGTCAACATGCACAAAAAATACATTTGTAAATGTCAAAAGAGTTTTGCCGATATGACTCCATTAATTTCGAAGCCAAAGAGATCAATTCATTTTTAAAACAATCACCTGATGTGATGCTTACCTTTGATATGATTGTTTTTGGTGAGTATATTGTCGGATCATTTCGAAAACTAAATCTCTCCGCTTCAAGCATGTAAAGAAATGCCCTGTGGGTTAAATGGTTCGATGCACGTGGCAGACTTGCGCTCCGCTCACCTTCGAGTCACGTGACTTGTGGACTTCCCTTTGTCATCCTATGCCTGGAATCATATCAAAGGGGCTGGGAAGGCAAAGGGATGCCCAACCGTCACACAATCGCCTGACACTCCAGGCTATGGCCATGCAAAGTGCCTGATGGGATTCCGATTGTACCCTGCTTCAACTTTTTTTTTTTTTTTTTTTTTTTTTACCCGATCCAAGGAGAAACCTTAGCCTGATGGCATCTGCAGACGAGATAAGCAATACTGCTACCAAGGGTAAAGCAAGCTTATCTGTCATTCAGCATACCAGATTGTCAATCTTGTACATTTTAAGGAGGCACAATGTGCAATTTATTCACAATTTTCTCCCCAACGTTTGTCAAAAGACCCCAAGGACTGAGATGTATATCTCACCCTCTTGCTGAATTGAGGACACGGTTCTGAGGTGTAGTCCAGTCGAATGCAAATCGTCCTCTACTGATATATCGTAGCACTTCGGAAGTACCCGTGGCACCTTCAGATAGGAGTGAGCTTTTTTAGAGTTACAAACTGTGCGTCGACTTGAGCGAACGCTGCATTTCTATTTTTGCTTCCTCCGCATTCACTGTCAGGGTGAGTAGACAGCTATTTGATTCATTTGAATACCTGCCCATAAACCCACAAAATCAAGTAGCATAGGCATCAATTTTCCTCACAGCACGGCTTCCTGCAAGCATCCCGCTGTAGCCTGCAGTCCAATTAAAGAAATGAAGAAATTATAACGTTTGGCGACAATACTCCTGCAGCCTGTTTCGGGGATCACATATAATCACGTGGTGAAAGTGAGGTTGCTTCGTACAAGATTCCCTGCTTCGGGTTTTATGATGTGATTATGTCCTTCTAATCTTGCTGCTCCAACTGGCGCGTGACCATTCTGCAAGTGAAGAGAAGATAGAACGTAGCGTAAAAGTGTCCTAATGAGAACACGTTGGAGAGCAAAGTGAGAGACAAATGATAGCGACAGCATATCAATAAAATGACAGCGAGGCGAACCTGAGCACGAGCGTTGGTATGCGTCAGCCAAAAGTCAGTTGCATTTCAGTCGTGTACTTTCAAGTCAGTCAGAAGTTGAGGGGAGTCGGGAAAATGAGTACTAAAGAAAGGTCTGACAGGGTGAGCTCAAGGGGGACGAACATGAATGTCAAGCGAAAAGGAAGCATGGAACCGATCAAAAGGCATTCACTGAGATGACACGTTACCTTGAGGAATCTTCAGTGAAAAAGATTCTGCTCAAAGGCTCATCCGTTTTTTTTTCCCTCCCTTAAACTTAAGAAAACAGCATCCCGTTCACAGCGACGGCCTCACTGCCAGATCCAGTCAGAGAACATTTCACCAAGTTCAAACCGGTACGATCGAAGAACCTTGAGTGCCTGGCGCTTCTAATTTCACTTCAATGACCAGGAATATTAGAGTGACACAAGTGCTTTGTATATGCGGGGATATGTGTGTGTTTTAACTCCGAGTAACCTTCACCGGCCCTTCTCCGACAAACGGTTTCATTAATCACAGCGCACGTGTACAAAAAAAAAAAAAATGAAGTAGGCGAGGTAATTGAATCTGGAAAGGCATCAGGCCGTGCGTTGCAGATTAGCCGTGACATCATGACCTCTCCGTGGACCGGCCCGTTCGCGGAAGATTAATGCTAAGCAATGGCACTGGGAAAGTCGAGAGCCCTAAACTTTTGGGGGCGGGCTCAGCGCCGTCAACACACAACAGACAACTTTCTTTTTGCCTGTCAAGCAAAAATAAATGTGAGTAGTAAAACGAAATCCAGTGTAGTAGCATTTGAAATTGCTTGTTGGCGCCATTGTTGTTGTTGTTCAATTCAGTGGCAATTGATGTAACCCACCAATGTCAAACTCAAGGCCCGGGGGCCAGATCTGGCCCGCAAGATCATTTGATGTGGCCCGCTAAAGCAAATCAGACATGTTGACTTCTATGATGCTTGCTAAAATTTATACCAACATTTCGAATTCTCGTATGTAGTACATAAGAAAGCTGTTGTAAGTTTTCTTCTTACCAAAACCCTCATTATAGTAACTTAAACTACAGTTGAATAAACCGTTATTCTTTACTTCCTTATATGGTTTCACAGTCATAACGGCCCTCCAAGGGAACCGCTAACTATAATGTGGGCCACGACAAAAATGAGTTTGACACCCCTGATGTAAACTGACAGAATTTGCGACATATTGCGCCATTTTCTGACATGCAGACCCCGTGTAGGCAAACTGGTGATTTTTGTGAGGCTATTTTTTTGCCCTCACACCAATTTCATTTTTAGGTCACTGAAAACCGTTGAGCATTGTCTCTATCCGAATGTGTGGACACTTGCTGTCATGTATCGATCATGGTGTGGAATCAATTCCCACCAAGTGCCTTCCACACAATCAATCGTCTCACAAAATGGGGAAGCGAGCTGCTACCCGGCTTTCTGTCGTGCTTACGTTCAGTCGGGATCTCAGGTGTGCTGGAGCCTATCCCGGCCGACCTTGGGGGAAAGGCGCACCCAAAGAAAAACAACCAAGTGCCGCATACAGTCCCCCCCCCCCAGTAGTGGAGTTAAACAATTTAAAAAACTAAGGCGCATGTGATAAATGGAAGCTGCCAAGGTGTTCTGCCTTGCGGCACAGAGATATCATCGTCTGAAGTGGCTGCGCTTGGGGTGTGGGAGCCTCATCGTAGGCGCACATGAACCAGTTGAGGCACATGCTTGAATGGCGAAATGTGACACGGCGTGGAAAGAATACAAGAGCATGGCCATCAGTGTGGACTGTGGAATCGTAGACCTTTACCAAGAGAGATGAAAAGGTCAGAAGAGTCTTTGTGTATTACTCCCTCGCCATATGCCCCAGTGATAAAAGGTTAGGACTAACATAGTATGCTCTTTTATTTATTTTTTTATAACACGCAGGTGAAAGTGAGTTATGATCTTTTTGTTTAAAAGAGAAAATAATATTGCCTTTAATCTCTACACACCTCACAAGTGTTCCAGCTCCTTCAAGAGCTGATTTAATTCAACACCGAGAAGCACACTTTGTACTACTGGATGTCGGATGTCTGATGTGAGTCAAAGCAATCAGATATTCCGAACTAGCTCGAAAGGGGGCTTGCTCGCACAAGTTTTCCGTCATGTACTTTTTCACGTGCCATTATTGATCATTTTGAGGCAAGCCAGAGGGAAAGTCGTAGAAGTCAATCAATCAAAGCAACACGTTGCGGACTGCTGGAGAAAAGTGGCTCCACAAACATTGACGTTTCTACCATATACGTGGCGGTGAAAAATAGAAACCTTTATATTTGTTATTATTGTTATTATAAATTAAACAGCAAAGGTATGTTTTATTAGGATTTGTGAACACAGAGTCCCCACTCAGGGTGTGTTTATGTTTGTGTTGTCATCAATCATTCACTCAGTAGCAAGCAGTGCGTTGCGAATCCAGTGCGTGACTTAACCTCGAGCAAGAAATAAAGCAACCAGCAGACATGAGCGGGTGTAAAGAAGTCGAGCCAAAGAAAGCTAGCCAAACGTGTCTGCGTCACAACAAAACAGTCTTTGCTCAATAAATAAATACATGGCTGGATGGATGGAAGTCCTGCGCGCTAAATACTGACAAGCAAAGCGTCCTGGTTGGTCTGTCGATACTGTAACTTGCTGATGCTAGTTATTCTCGGTGGGCAATGGCAACAACTGTCAAGCGTTTTGTGACATACAGGGTGTTTATATTGCATGTATTATTTTTTTTTCATGATTGAAAACAAAAGAAATCTGTCACAATCCTGTCCTGTGTGTTTTTTCAGGGTCTGACAGGGGTGGAGGGCGTTCCCTCCAGAGCTGCACCTGTCGCTAATTTGCCTCGTTTTGCAGCTCCTTTTATAAAGCCAGCCACGGCAACAACTGGTTTTTGAATTATTTCAGACTTGCTCATGACTCTTGTTTCCAAGTGCATGATTATGCGCGACTTTTACCCTCTTAGCTTCTTGCCACGTTTTTGTATTTGTATTTTTTTATGTAAGTAGTTCTTGTTGTTATTTCTCGGTGAGTATTCTCGTGTATTTGGATTTTCTTGTCCCTTAAACGACAAGCAATTGACGCTTATCTTGTTACTTGCCTTTTGCAAGCGTTTTTGTTTCGTTTCGCTTTTTCCTTATTTGTTGCCAGCGTCTTTCGCTGTACTTTGTCGGTCCTGCGTTTCGTGAATAAATACATTTGTTCACGATTTCATCCTTGTCTTGAGTTTGTGGGATCCACTCCTTTCCGGATTATTATGGAGCCCTCTCAAAAGACGAGATGTTGAATTATGTGAGTAAATATGGAGTTATGGGCCTTCAAATGTTATGAGGCTTCCTCCCATAATGTGAGCTGATGAATTTCAGGCCAGGCTGGAGCAGAAAACGATTTCAGTCAGAAATTTTTTTTCAAAAGATGCGATTGGTTGACTGCAGTCTTAACCTCGTTTTAATAATGTTTTGATTTCAATGTTAGAAATTAATGAAAGAAAATGATTTAAGGTCATGACCAAAAGGTTTTGTGGTTAGTGAAGTTCAGTGTAATTTCATTACTCGGTGGTTTGTTTTGCGTGTGCATGGGCAAAATGCTTTTTACACTATTAAAGCTGCCGCAGCTGTGCTTCCCCCTCCTCGTTCGCCCCATGGTGGCTTTTACTTTAACGACAATTCGCTTCTCAAACCACAACATTGCCTCCGCAGTCATCAACACTACTCCAAACGTACAAACGGCAACAGAGCCGTGATCATCTTCCTTCTGCTTCTCTCTCTCTCTTTTTTCCTCCTCTCTTCCTTTTTCTGTTCTGCTGGTGTCTAATCTTGTGACGCGTCACGGCACGGTGACGTTTGAACTCTTTGAAGCGGATGAGGTCCCGAAAATATTCTCCTTATGTAACTGTCCCCGCTCGCAAGGCTGTGTGAAGCAAAACGTCACGGTGGCGGGTATGCCTCCGAAGGGCCCCCGTGTCTTTGTATGCGTGGAGAGGCTGCCTGAATTATGCAGAGCGGGGATGAGAGTGCGCGCCCGGGATGATCCGGCAATACACGGCTTTTGAATTAGAGGAGTCAAACCGGCAAAAAGAAATGGCATGTTGAACAGGACAACGCGGGGCGACGGCTTTAGGCCATAGATTGGACCGAGACCACCAAAGAGGCTTGGAACATTAGGGGGGCGGAATATTGAGCGGTCACGCCTGATGCGCCCTTCGAGGAATATTCTGTGTTATGACGAAAACTTGGAGTGAAGGGGGGAAAAAAACATGTCAGAGTGTCTATCCCCAGTGGAATTTGGACAAGCGGTGAGGTCCACTCCGGTCTGATCGCCAGCCAGTCGCAGCCTGCCTGCCATGGCAGAACCATCAACTTAATTGACGCTTGTCTTATGCAAATCTCCTCGGTCACATTCAATGCTTTGCATATTCCCCAATTGTGCGACTTGCATTTCCTCATTTGTTCTTCCCCCTCCCCGCCTTTGTTTGTGGACAGGGATTGGACAGGGCGTACCAGTGGTGGCTCTCATTGTGGAAGGAGGCCCTAATGTGATCTCCATTGTGCTGGAGTACCTCAGGGACACACCCCCAGTCCCTGTAGTGGTGTGTGACGGCAGCGGCAGAGCCTCCGACATCTTGGCATTTGGTCACAAATACTCAGAGGAGGGAGGGTACGTGCTTATATAAAAACGTCCGACTCAAAAGCACTCGCATACGGTTGCGCTATTTCATGACTTGGGCAAATAAATGAAATACATGGGGAAAAAAAAGTCTCTTCTCAACTCAGTAAACTGAAGTTCTATTCAGTTGTTTTTCAGAGAGGATAAAGAATATATGCCTGTAAATATTGTTATATTGTCTGTTTACGTGTTCAAATCTCAATTGCTTCAGGTGCTATAATTGTAACGAGTGCAACACTGATATTAGGTTGTTTTTTTTTAGCTAGCTAGCTAAGTTATGTGGGTTTGATCCAAAACTTGCAATTCCTTGTTTGTTTTATGTTTAGCTTTACAGTAAACTTCAACTGTACCCACTTGCAAAGAAGCAATTGGCAATTTTGGGGGGAAGAAATGTTTACTATCTGCCACTTGTGAAGTTTGCTGTCAGCACGAACTGCTGCTGACTGAAATTTTTGCCTACAATTCAAGAGAAAGCCATAGCTTGTCTCTCAAAAATTTGTAAGTCAGGTCATTCGTAAATTGAGGCGCCACCATACAAGCACTCCAACTCTAACTCGAGGCGAATTAGAAATAACCACCACAATAATGTGCCAATTATTTTCATCCACGTTTTTGAATCTCGTTAGATTGTGCATACTGTACAACCCCCATTTGGCATTCCGCTGAGCATGTGTAACGACGACCGTGCAAATGAATGCATTTCAGGAAAACGGTTTATTGGAATAAAAACAATTGCAGCAAATTAAAATTGTAAGTAGAAAATTGTGCTGATGGAGTACTTTGATAACGCAATATGTTTCTCATGAGACGCTATTTGCATCATCGATTTTTATAGTTTCTCACTGCGTGTCCAGGGACGCTCAGACCTAACAGAGCTGAGAGTCCCAGTCGACCTTGGTTTCACTTACGGACAACAAATCTAATTCAACCCCCACCGCCCTCTTTTGTTTCTTTTTCATTGATGCTGCTCCTCCCTGGCATCTTTTTCCCCCTCCAGCATAATTAACGAGTCGCTGAGAGACCAGTTGCTGGTGACCATCCAGAAAACCTTCACTTACAGCCGCACGCAGGCCCAACATCTGTTCATCATTCTCATGGAGTGCATGAAAAAGAAGGAGCTGGTGAGTGGCTTGACCTTGCGCACGCGCACACGTGCACGGTTCTTGTTATTTATATTTTGGACATGAACACGCGACACGCTCGAAAGCTTGACGGCAAGGACGGAGGAAAGATTCCTGAAAATGCAAGGGAGGAGATCTACTTTGATTAAATCACTCCATCATCGAGTGTGTATTCACGGTCAACAGCCCGTTAACTCTAGAAAAATAACATTGCGTTAGGCCAGATATGGTTATTAATCACATTGCCACTTATCAATTGGTTTACAAAATAAGGCAACCGTTTTACGTGGCCGTCAAGCAAACTCCCAAAAGATCGAAATGCCCTTTATTTTTTGGATGATGTTTCCCGTCGAGCTTATAACCAAAAGTCTTATTATTTATGCATGAGGTGGGCCTTCTTCCCCCTCCCATCAAATGCGATGTTATGCAAGTTGGGGGTACTCAATGAGCGCCCTGATATTTCCCATCCTGGCATGAATAATTGAGCAGAGAACAGCCCTTATATGTTTAATTCCGGTTAAATATTCACGAGGATCAACCGTGTTTCGCCGGCTTCGTGACAACAGCAACTAAGAAAGAGTCGGGGAGCAAAGTGGTCACTTAGGAGAAGAGGAGTCAAAGAAGAAAATATGTGACTTAAAAAAAAAAGCGAGAACAATGAGTTCTTGGGAGAAATGAGAGAAAAGGGGATAAAAAAAACAACAAAAAACAGATAAAGTAGCCAAAGAGGCAGTTTATTATTGGTTGGGCGGTTTTATCTGTTTAAAAATGTATGAGGAGAGAAATTTAGTGTCCAATTTCCCTCAGTTTGGGCAGTCGTACTGTAATTTGCGATTTTATTCACATAAAACATCCACCAGCTTTTCACAGTTCAATTTATACCAACCAGAATGTTTTTTTTTTTTTTTTTTTTTTGCTGACTGCCTTTATTTGGTGTTTTGGCCGCCAAAATGTGAGCTGCTCTTGGCGTGTGTGCATGTCACATTCAGCACGCCCTTTTTAAGTGAAATGATGCATATTTTCTAATCAGCTTGACTCACTGCAGCAATGATCCCCAAAGCGTCCAGCTTAGCAAGTATGAAGATGAGGGAATCCTGCACTCAGGAGGAAGATTGCTCTGCCTTTTACACGTCTCCCATCACGTCTTTTGCCCCTCCTCGCTCACTTCCTATTTCTTCATTCCTCTCGTCTCCGTTTTCCCAATCCCACCGCCTCTCAACACCGCTTCATTACTATTGCATTTGTACTCTCATTCTTTATTCTGGTCTGCTCAAAGCTGAGGGTGGACACGAGTGGTTAGGACGTCTGCCTCACAGTTCTGACGTTGTGGGTTTGAATCCCGAAATGACACCAATCTTGTTTTATTTTAGAATACAATAATTTTGCAATCATCTTAGACGTTCTAATATTAAATAATCGGTTACATTCGAAAAACAGCAACTTGAAAAATAGGTCATTTATAAAGTAACATTATCAGCGCGCAACCAGCGTAAAAATGAATTGGAAATAGTCAAACTCACCATTTATTGTGATGATGAGCATAAGCCAAAGAAAAAGCAAGACGTCAAAAACGGTTTCGATTCGGAGATACGACCAGGAGTTGCAATGTCGTGTTAGTCCTGCTTTCGCAGATAAAGTGGTCGCTCGCTATAATGCGGTTCAGCTTTCGCAGACTCGCAGACATTTTTTTTCCACCCGCATTTGTCCTAATTGACTACCTGTATTTTTTTACAGTGTAATTCTGCACGCTGTTTTCTACAGCGTGCAAACCTACGTTTCCTCCTATGCGCAGTTCACCTATCGTGGGTTATTTTTGGAATGTCCACACCACGATAAACAAGGGACCGCTGTTGTTTGCCTTTACTGTGTGACGAGGCCCGCTCGACACGAGTCCATTTTAAAGCTACTCCAAATCAAAGGGCTCAGATGTAGCAAGCATACAAACACAAAAAGTGGCCTCTGAGAACGAGTAGCCGACATCACCTTTCCTTCAAATTACATTAGCAAGCTTGCATTTTCTCACAGGTTGCCTTGTTGCAGAAGCTCTCTATTACGAGCGGGACGCACAGACACTCGGGGTGGGGGTGTCACCTTGGGGACGTGATTGGAGAAGGGGAAGAGAGAGGAAGAAACTAGGAGGGGAATGGTAAGGGGTGGCGGGGGGGGCCTATGGGAAGATTCACGGTTCGATTTGTTGGTCATGAGGATGTTGGCTGGGTGAAGGCGAGCTAAAGGTTGACACATCTGGGGGACAGGAACTAAGATGAAGATCTTCATTTATCGTGCTCTTTCTTAAATGACAATTTCATCCATCTTATGTCCTGAAGGCAGCAGAAAATCAGATGGATATGGGAATTTTGCACGGAGCTTTAATGAGCTGGGATGGTATAGGATGCTACAAATTGCCTTAACGCAGGGTACACGCCGGGGGTTCAATCGTTTAGTTGACTTAACCGGTCTGCATCGACCTTTAAAGCCTGAAGTTGACTCATCGCTAATCATGCATTTTTGGCATCCCGTTTTCCAATCGGCCACTTGACAGAGAAATTTCGACTTGCCCATCTCTTGCCATCATGGACTAAAACGCTCGGCGGAGCAGCAAGGCTCCGGTGTTCATACATCTGCGCCAGCCCGAGAGTACGTAAAAAAGTGAACTTGGCGGTTGCGGTCGACGCTGGACTTGAAATATTCATCGCGGCGCGACCAAGGGATTGGCAGCGAGGGTGCTGTCAAAACGAGGGCGATCATATTAACTCTTTCAGGGACAGCGGTTACTCATATTATCAGGGTACAGGTTATCATGATTGGTGCCTGGAAGGGTTAAAGCCAAAAATAAATATTTTGTACGCGCAGTGGCGCCTCTCTGCATTCACGCAATTACACACAAGTGATCTGTGCTCACCCTCATGAAGACCTCTAATCGATACCTTCGCATCCCATCGCACTCTCATTCCACCTGGAGAAAGACCTTTTGATTACACACCCCTGTGTGTGTGTGTGTTCGACGCACACACACGCGCATGTATTGAACTGCTTTCCTTATTAGTGATTGCCTGACACACGTCGAAGGTATTACTCCGGGCCTCACTCCTCATTTCTCACAGGGACGAGTCCGCGTGTCATCAGCATATGGTGCGCGGATGATTAATGGGCCGAGATAATAGATGGCATAAATCACCAATGAGGATGGGATGACTTTTAAAAACAGTCATGTTTGTTTGAAAATAATGGGGGGGGGGG